AAAAAAAAAAAAAAAAAAAGCCACCCTGCCCAAAGACCTCATTAGGACAGTGGCCAGGTCAAACCTGTGCCTGGCCCTCATGCTATCCCCACAGAGTAAACATGTGTGTTTACTGCCAAAAAAAAAAAAAAAAAAAAAAAAGGCTCCTGGTTGAGACTGATAACAGAGTCCCAAGACTGCCTCAGGCTCTAGGGTATTTATCCAGTTCCCAAGCCCACAACAGCCATGGCCCCAGTTCTGTAGTTTCCCAATCGCACCGCCTTCAGTTCTTCCCAGCAGACAGGCCTTTGACAACTTCCCTGTCTAGTCTATCACAGGTTTTGGCAAGGGGACTGACTTCCTATTCTGCCCAGTGGGTTTTTCCACTGTAATAGCAACTAGGGCAGAGGGGAATGGGGAAACCGAAGCCCGGAGGTGCTTTTGGGTTACGCTTCTGGCTCTTTGCTGCTTCCTTAAGTTTAAGAAGCTTGATAAGCGGAGGGCAACTTGCTCAAGTCGGGTGCACACGTGGCCAATGCCTGCTAGGGCACGTGCTGACTACGGCAGAGTTTCGCGAGACTGCGCCGGGCTGGTCAAGGCGGGATTTCCCCACCCCAGGACACTCGAGGACACAGGAGTGAATCCACACTGGACCCCTGCGCACCGCAGAACAGCAGCCTGGCGCCCCCTACTCACCTCCTCCACGCCGCTGGCCGCTTTTGGGCGGCGCGTTGCCCTTACGAGTGCGGGGCATGCTGGGACCCTAGCGTGGGGTCACAGGGGCGCAGGGTCAGGGACCCGGAGGACAAGGGCTCCAGGCCAGCGAAGCGCTGGTCAGTGCTCTGCGTTGAGACTTGGCAAGACGCAGGGAGCTACACGCCGTGCGCGCCACCATCTTCATGAGGCGCCCCGCCCTACCAAGCAGGTTGCTGGGAAGGCGAGTTCCCAAACACTGGGTTCAGATCTGCGTCCACTCGGCGAAAACTATTATTCCCAGGGGGCTGCGCGCACAGATTAGGGTCGGGGCTGAGCGCAGAGCACCACGGGAAGAGCAGTCCACTTTTGGAACTCACAAAGCGTTACCGCTCTGGCTGGAACTATTCACCCACAATGCTCTGAGTGTACTAACCCCCCCGCCCCCCAGCGGTGCACAAGTGAACAGTTGTTAACTCGCAAGTTTCCCTGCCAGGTTGAAGAACTACCTTGCAAGACCAGGGTCCAGGGTTCTTGCGGCAGCGCACTTGCACAGTGGAAAGTCTGGTGCTTAATAGAATAGGGTAATAGCCAACCCTCAGACAATTAAAGAAAAAGTGACTTTATGATGAAAACACAATACAGACAACATCTTAAACCAGATCTTAACTCAGATCTTTTGGGGGCCTCTCTGCCCTTGGATGGGTCTCCTGTGACCTATGTGAGGTGTAGGAACAAAGCCTTAGATTGGCAGTTTTTGAAGAGTCAGATGACCTCAGAGAGCCTTTTTACAAGCCTCCCAACCCCACCACCCTTTTCACCCTTAAAGGATCTGAACAGAAGTGGAGCGTGTATTTGGGAAGGTTGACTGCAAGCTGAATAGAGCAGGTGGGAGTTCCTACAGAACCAGGAAAGTGGCAAGAGGCAAAGAGATGGACAGAGACTTCTGGCTTTATGCTGCTTCCTTAGGTCTACCCCCAGGTCTGGGCTCCTGGCAGGTGGGACCAGCCCAGCCCTGGTAACAGCGGCAGCTAAAGGACTCCCAAGATCCAAGGCTGCCATCTGGCTGCACATGCAGAAAGGCTTCCCTTTGTCCTGGGTCTTGCCGAGCACAACGCCCATGACCATGGCACTGCTGGTGACTGCAGGCCATGGTTGCTCTTGTCACATTGATCACATAGGGTCCTAGAGTGCCCACCAGGTAGTCATGGAGATGCCAGCACTTCTCCTGAGAAGGAAGGAAAGGATGTGTCAAATGCTCCTGCTCCATGGCCTTGATATGCCCTCTCCCCGACCCCACCTTAGGGCCCCAGCAATGTGATGTATGGGAGGCTGATGGTGGAAATAATCACCTCAGAGCTGGAGAAACTCAGGTCCCCCCAGAGCACCACGCCGGCTGCCCCCAGTGCTGCACTCACACCAATGGTCTGTACCAGGTCATCCTGAAGGTGAAGAGCTAAGTCAGACCTGGCCTTGCCAGATCCATCTGGGTCCACCTCCATTGTCAAGAGACTCTCCAGTTCACTGCCCTGATCTGATTCTCTAGAGTTAGGCCCTTTGCACTGAGTTTCTGAGTAGCTTCTCAGGCCTTTCAGTCTGACTCCCCTTATACCGGGGGTCCCTTCAAACCATTAATTATCCCTTGAGATCTTCCAGTGCAAAGCCATACCTCCCTTGTCTGATGCTCTAGGACAGGGCCTTCCCCTAAGCACCCTTAGATTAGGACCTTCCCCTCAATTTCCCTTGGGCAAGGATTTCTCCTTAGACTTTCCTAGGACAGGGCCATATCCAACTCAGTCCCCTAGATCTCAGCTTCTACTTACCTGGGACAGGAACCTCCTAGAGCGCTGGTGTGTGAGGCGGACATAGGCCAGGACAGGCAGAGGATGTGGGTACCCAGTGAGGGCCACACGGAAGGCCTCCTCCAGGCGGTGTTGCACAAAGGCCTGGTGGTAGGCAGGTGGCAGCCTGGGTGGGAAGTAGATGCTGGGAAAGAGAGCACTGGAGGCAGCCCAGAGCCAATGCAGTTTGGTGTTGCGGGCCAGGGTGGCTGCATGGCAGCGGCCTGTGTAATTGGAAGCCATACGGTGCCAGCCATTGCCACAGGCTGGGTATCGATAGAAACCCCAGAGCCCATGGGGCCTCAGTGCCTGGCCCAGCTGCAGGGTGTTCTCCATCAGTGCACGGGCTGCCTGCTCAAAGCCAATATGGGCTTTGTGGAGCTGCTCCTGAGGGTCCAGGTCAGGGAACACATGCTGTGCCCAAGCCCAGGAGGCTGCCTTGTAGGCTTTACGGCGGCCCCAATTTCCAGCCCAGAGTGGACACCACTCCTCCCAGTCCAGCACTGCCAGGCCAGCAAAGCTGAGTTCCAAGCTGTGGCGGATCTGGTGGGCAGCCTGTGCCAGGTGGCGATCTAGAGGCACAGCCTGGGGGATGCCCCCATTGTGAACTGTGCCCCTGGGCCCAAGGTAGGGATAGAGGCCAAACTGGTTCTTGTAAAAGATGGTAATATTTTGGCCATGGAAATGCTGGCCGTGGTTGGCTATGATGCCCAAGGCACTGAGTGGTAGGTGCACATCAAAGTGAGCCTCACAGTGTGCTGAGGGTACATTCCACAGCACAGAGAAGGGGCGTTCAGGAGCCTGCAGCAAGGACTGGCCACACCCCAGGCACAGGGCCACCCCCAGCACTATGGCTGGGCCTAGCTGCATGGTCATGCCACTGAGATGGAAACCTGTAGGAGAGAGGGAATAAATTTAAGAGTCCATGGCCATACCATCTACAGAGCAGGGAAAGCGCCCCAAGTTCCTCCCCACAAGGATGGGGGGCTGGAGAAAGCATAGTTCCCAAGCAGTCCCATAGGTCTCTCAGAGCAATTATACACCAAACTGGTCTGGGCAGCTCCTCTCCAGGGTTGTCTATCTCTGTCAAGGTACCATGATGTTTTCTGAAACTATCTCCATCCATGACTCTTACAAGTCTCTTTCTTCTGCCATCTTGTTCCCTGCTCCAAGAACACTAAATTCTTACCTCCTTGTTTGCCTGGCTTAATTCCTACTCAGCACTAGGGTCTCTGCTGTGGCATCACCTCCCATAAGAGGTTTCCTACATCCCCAGTGGGGAGTGAGGGCACTTGGGCTCCTGAGGCTTTTGTACTTCCTTATCACAACACAGACCCTGCCATTGAATACTTGTCTATTCTCTTGGATGGGTACCCAGTATGTCTGTAATTCCCCACTGCCTATGCCCAGTCCAGCGCCTGACATACAGAAGGTGCTCAGTGAATGGTAATGAGTAAACAGGGAACCACCACTCTGTTCCCTGAGCTTAGCAGGGTGGGAGAGGTAGAGGACAAGTGTCACCCCAGCAAAGGGCCCAAGGCCAAATTGGACCTGGGGGTTTCCGCAGGGATGGGAATCTGAGAAGTGAGGGTGGGGGTCAACAAATAAATCGTCACAGCCACACCCAACAGAAGGTTTTATTCAGCCATACTGATGGCTCTGAGCATTAACTACAGGATCATCTCCTGGCTCCACTGGTAGCCAGAAAACATGCCCAGACTAAAGGTGCACCAGGGGCCAGGGACTGAGGTATAGTCAGTGGGCTGAGACTGGCACTGTCCTGGGCAGTTCAATGATACAGGACAGTGCCTTGTCTGAGGTGGCCCTCAGATGTCTTTTTCCATCCAGAATATGGGGCATCCCCGCAGGTCTTGGTATTGTGTCTCCAGCAGGTTTTGTGGAAATGGCCCTGCTGAACGTGGGGGTAAGGTGGTCAGGGGCTGGGGCAGGGGTGGTGGCAATGGGGGCCCCTTGGGGCTACTTGGGCCAGCAGCTTGGGCAGTCAAGCTAGGAACCATGCAGGGTGGGTGGGGGGTGGGAGCCCTAGGAAAAGCACGGAGCAGGCTGGTGGGTAGCTGTTGGCTGCTGAAGACCAGGCCCTGCACAGGCTCCCCCAGATGGTAGCCCAGGTGGGCATAGAAGTACAGCTGATCATGAGTGGTGAGGTGTAGCCGGCGAAAGCCCCGGACCCGAGCAAAGTCCTCCAGGCCCTCCATGAGGCGGCGGCCAAAACCACGGCCCCTAAGGGCCCGGGCTACCACCACTGTCTCTACTAAGAGGCTCTGGGGACGGTCTAGCACCCGTGACAGGCGAGCATGGCCCACCACAATGGGGGATGCTTCCGCTGTGGGGTGGGGGCTCAGCAGCAATAGGCATAGGGGGAAGGCATCTGAGGACTGGCCCAGGGAGTGCAGGCGAGAGGCACGGCTGCGGGGCCACTGGTCATTGATGAGGTCAGCACAAGCATCCATAAGCTCAGGTCGGCAGTGCACAGGCTCCAAGGTCAACTCAGTTAGGCTGGGAGCTGGGGTCTCCTCTGGCTGGTGTTTGGGATCCAGGGTAAGCTCAGCTGGGCCAGAACTGAAGGTCATCTCTGGATGGCATATGGAATCCAGGGTCAGTTCAGCTAGCCTGGGGCTCAGGATCAGCTCTGGCTGGTGTGTGGGATCCAGGGTTAGCGTGATCAAGTTGAATCTCAGGGCCACCTCTCACTGGTATACAAGATCCAGAGTCAGCTTAGCCAGACTGGTACTTAGGATCAGCTCCATCCAGTGTGCAGGGTCTAGGGTAGGGGTCAATTTCGTTGAGTCAGGGCTCAGAGTGACCTCTTGCCTACATATAGGATCCAGGCTCAGCTGAGTCAGGCTGGGAACCAAGGTCACCTCCTATTAGGTTGCAGATGGCTCAGGGCCAGGCTGGAACCTAAGGCCACAGTCTCCTGGCAGTGGCATCTTTTCAGACTATACTGGCTGTCCCCCTTGGATAACAGCCATGCTTGGTAGTGCCATGAGGACAGGGTTGGAACAGGGAAGTACCATCAGATGCAAAGGGGGCCATGCATCCTGGAACTGGACAGTGTTGGGGTGCACACTAACCTCATGGTACAGGTGGCCTGGAAAAGACTCATCCCCTACACCTGAGGACTCACGTAGCAAACAGGGCAGATGGATCCAGGTGTCCTGCCCCACACTGGAGGGAGGCTGAGGGTGATGGTGAGTGTTGACAGCTGGGGCAGAACTCAAGCACCTAGCCTGCCCCTATCTGATCCCTAAGGACCTCACTGTGCTAGGACAGCCCACTTATTGATAGCCTTATTTCTAGCAGTCCTTCAACAGAAGGTGCAAACCATACACTGTATTTCCTGCTTATACCCTCTAAGGTTCTCGCCAGAGTAAATACTGCCCTCAGGAGTTCTTCTGTCCCTTCCTTCTCCCAATATGCCAGCTCTCTTTCAGTTCCCAGTGTTTTCAACAACATGGGCCACACCAACCGCCTAGCTGATCCTGGGGCCCCACTAACCCACCCACCAGGCTCAGTTTTACCTCCCTCTACTGCATTCCCTGCTTGGGGTACAAAGCCCATGGACCCCTCTCCATCTGCCTGGTTTTGGGCACGGACTCAACTGTCCACACAGATGGAACCCTAGCGGCTGCAGCACAGGGCTTGGCCTACAGCTGCACAGACTTATTTCTGCAGGCCTAGTTCCTTTTGGGCTGAGTTTCATAGCCACCCTAGATGAGGACCACAGCTTCCTTCCTATATCCACAGTGGTATCTACCAACGGCCATCAGGTTGAAAACCCAGAACTTTTGTGCCCAAATCCCATTGCCTGCCCACCTTATTCCAGGTCCTGCTGACAGGAGGCTCCACACTGGAAAATTTCTTGCATTGGATTGGCAGCTGGACCCCATCCCTCTGCTCACCTGCTCCAGAGAGTGGCTCCTGGCTTCCCTTCCCCACTTCCCTAAGCCTGAGGACAATTCAGCAACAGTATTCAGTAACAGGCACCTCCTTCCTCTCGTGCCACATCCCTCTTTCAGGGCTCCAAGCCTCTCACCTGCCTCAGCTGCCTCCCCTGCAGCAGGACCCCACGGTCTGGAAGGAGGAAGCTCCAGGATCCGCCCCTAACCCTTGAACCCCAGGCTCCCCCAGGGAGCTTAACCCCTTCAATGCCGACCCCACTCACTGTGGGAGGTGCGAGGCTGGAGGTCCTCATAAAGGGGTCTCCCTGTTTCCGACGCCTTGGCTTCCCCATCCCTCCTATTAGGAGGGCCAGTTCAGTGGAGGTTTGGGGGCTGGAGCCTTCAAAAGCCTGACTCTGTAGGTAGGTGTGGCTCAGCATGCTCTGGGAGGGAACGACCGACATAGAGGACGTGGGGAGGGGCAGGGCCTCTTGGGGACAGCTGACGCAGGATGGGGGGTTACCGGCCCGTAGCGCGTGGGGCAGGAGCAGTACTGACATTTCGACGCAGACTGGGATGCTCGCGTCCTGGCTCCGCTCGGCTCAGGATCTCGCTGTTTTTGCCTCGCACACCTCGGCCCGCCCGCGCTGGCCCCCAGCGGATCGGCGGACTCACTGCAGCAGGGGCCCGCGCTAGCGTCAACCCAGCCTGTAGTTGTGCGCGTCACAACACTGAGCCAGCGCAGACGCAGTGAGTGTCTCTCTCGCGGCCGCCTCTATCTTCTTGCCCTTGAGCCGAGCTGCGTTCCTCGCAACCTGCCCTTTGCAGCTCCGCTTTGGGATCCCTGAGTCACCGCTCAGCCCTGCCACGATTCGGCGCCGCCGAGGCCCAGACCCAGCTCAGCGCGAGTCACGTGTCCTCTGGGCGCTGGCAGTGCCTCCAGCCTGGCTGGCTCCGCCTCGCCCTGCCCCACTTCAGTCCCCTCTGGTGCCACAGGGTCTGGGCTCCTGCTTGTCTCTGACGCCAATCCCTCCTGGAAACGGCCGGATCGGGGTGGGGGGTGGGGGGCTTGGACCTCCCCTACCCCAAGTAGTTGCTTATTTTTCAGGCTGACGTCAGACTTGGGTGAAAGAGACAATCGTTTCTTTTGCCCTCTGGATCCCAGAGCCGGCACATTCTAAGCGCTCAGTGAACAGATCTCTAAGTAAATCATGACTACTTTATTGGCTGGATTGTGCGGGGCTGGTGCCTATCTGCGGATTCAGGGGACTGGCTACCACCACCACACAGTAGGTGTTCAAGGGTTTTATCTCTGGAGCCAGATAGCTTTGGTTTGAATCCTAGCTTCTCTGTTTTCTTCTGTGTAACCTTGGGCAAAAAGTACACATCTTCCCAGTGGGTGCATTACACTTACTGTGAAGAGTTAGCCCATTTGGCATGATTAGCACAAGACTTGCAAAGTTCTCTAGAGGAACTGTCTATGATCTTGTCACATAGACATCTTTGAACATGGGGTCGGTGGTGTCTGCCCCTGTTGCTAACTCCTTATGTAGTTGTCCTGGTTTGTGAGTGTGCGTTTGTGTGCAAGGCATATGCCCATGATGGTGACTCAGTGTACTCCTGTGACTATGATTTGAGTGACAGTGTCTGTATTTGAGGAAGCCATGGCCAGCCCAGAGTACATTAGGTTCTCAGTGTGTGCAGACTGGTGTGGCCAATCATCACACATCTGGCTGCCCGCAAAATGCCCCACGCCAGCCACGGTAGCAGCGACATCTGAACTTCATAGCCATCTGTGCCTGATCTTCTAGTGAGGGGCCACCTTTCAGGGTCAGGGGCTTGCCACCAGGTGTGAACTGGATGGAGAAGCTGGCAGGGTTGAGGATGAGGAGGGCCTCAGGATGGCTGGGGTGGCGGGCACAGCGGCCATGGCCAGAGCACAGGGCTTGACTGCAGAGAAGAGCCCCACTGGTCACATTCAGGATGAAGGGCCCTAGTGTGGTATCCATATACTCTTTGATGGCCTGGCATGATTCCTGGGTGGGAAGGGGAGCGTCAGGGACACCATGGCCATGCTTGGGCCCACTTAGGGCATTGAGACACTGCCATGCTGCCAGCCAGAACTTTAGAGGTGGAAGGGTGGGCCCAGGTTGCCCCAGTGAGCTTGATGCTCCCCCGCAGTTTACCTTCGAATTTGTGTCCTCTGAGCTCACCCAGAACACCACTCCTGCTGCTCCTTGAGCTGCACTCTCCCCTAGGGTGTGCTCCAGCTCCTCCTGGAAAAGGAGAGTGCAGCTCTGTGGCAAACTGCTATGACACCATGGGATGGGGTGAAACCCCCATCTGAGCTTGCCCTGGTGGTCAAAGGCAAGCCTGTCTCCCTATAGCTGTAAGTGCCACACAAAACAGGAGTAAATCTTTCTAACAAGTGCTAAATGATCTGTGCTTAAAGAGAAACCAGCAACAGAGTGAAAAGACAACCCACAGAGTGGGAAAACATTTTTACCAGCTATTCAGATAAAGGACTATTATCTAGAATATATAAAGAACTCAAAAAAATCCGACCCCCCAAATTTAAAGACCCAATGCAAAAATGGGCATCTGAAATAAAAAGACACTTCTCAAATGAAGAATTAGAAATAGCAAATAAATGTATGAAAAAATGTTCAACATCATTGGTCATTCGTGAAATGCAAATTAAAACAATGCTGAGATTCCATCTTACTACAGAAAGAATGGCTGCTTTCAAGAAATAAACCAAGGGCCGGGGATTTAGCTCAGTGGTTCCACTGCCAGCCTCGCAAGTGCAAGATCCTAAGTTTGATCCCCGGTACCAAAAAAGAAATAAAGCAATAGCCGGGGATTTAGCTCAGTGGCACTGCACCTGCCTTGCAAGCACAAGGTCCTGAGTTCAATCCCCAGTACCAAAAAATAAAATAAAATAAAATAAAAATAAATCAATAACAAAATGCTGGAGGGGCTGTGGGGAAAAAGGAACGCTTCTCCACTGTTGGTGGGTGTGCAGACTGGTACAATCTTTGTGGAAATTAGTGTGGAGATTTCTCAAGAAACTAAAACTAGAGGTTCCATTTGACCCAGCTATACCTCTTCTTGGTATCTTCTCGAAAGGATTAAAAGCATCACACCACAGCAATATATGCACATCCATGTTTATAGCAGCAGAGTTTGTAATAGCTAAATTTTTTTTTTTGGTACTGGGAATCGAAATTAGGACCTTGTACTTGAAAGGCAGGAGTAGTGTCATTGAGCTAAATCCCCAGCTCTTGTAATAGCTACATCTTGGAAACTGTCCAAATGCCCATCAACAGAGGAGTGATAAAGAAGATGTGGTTTTTTATGAAATGGAGTACTACTCTGCCATAAAGAAGGATGAGCTTCAGACATTTATAGCTAAATGGATGGACCATACTCTTAAGTGAAATAAATCAGACACACATGTTTAAATACCACGTTGTTTCTCTGGTGTGAGAAACTGAAAGTGGAAATAAGGACTGAAATGTACAATGGATGCTGGGAAATGGGAAGAAAGTGTTTAAATGGGAAGGAACAAGGGAGGAGGGAGGGAGAAAGGAAGGAAGGGACAAGAAAAAAAGTGAAAAATAGAAGAAATGGAAAAAAAGCTTTTGTACCTAGGGAAGGGAGGTGGTTTGGGGGGAATAGGATAAAATAAAATTTATTTAAAAAAATAAATGATCAGGCTGGGGATTTAACTCAGTGGTGCTGCCGCCTGCCTCGAAAGCACAAGGTCCCAAGTTCGATCCCTAGTACCAAAAAATAAATAAAAATAAATAATCAGGCCAGGATGTAGCTCAGTGGCACTGCGCCTGCCTCACAAGCACAAGGTCCTGAGTTCTATCCCTGGTACCAAAAAAAAAAAAAGAAAAGATCTGTGCTTAGTGCAGAACTTAGCACGAGGTACATACTCAGTGAATATGAGAATAAATGGATGAAATTTCCCCAAGACTATGTGGCCTCAGTTTTGGACTTAACACCTAACAAGGCTGGCTGATGAGATGGGTGGGGTCACAGAAGACTTACCAGGGGCAGAAGATGGTTTGTTGTATCATAGAAGATCTGGATGTAGGGCAGCACTGGTAGACTGGGGTTGCTGGCAGTTCTGGCCACACGAAATGCCTCACCCACACGGTGTCGCACATACTTCTGTGTCATCCCTGTGCCTATCAGTGCTGCAGGTATGTAGATACTGGGGTAGAGGGCACGGCTCTGGTTCCACAGCCACCCTAGCTGGTCATTCTCAGGAAGGATGCCTAATGGGCACTGGCCTGTATAGTTGGGACTTTTAAAGTCATAGTTGTAGCAGTCAGGGAGGCCATAGAAGCCCCAGAGGCCATGAGGACGCAGTGTCTGTCCTAGCTGGAGGGTACCTGCCATCCAGGCCCTCGCAGCCTCCTGGAACTGGTCCTTGGCTACTGTCTTCACCCGACTTTCAGGCCAATCAGGGTGCTGTGCCTGAATCAGTGCCTGTGAGCGCTCTCGGTAAATATCCTTCGTGTCCCAGTTGAAGGCCCAGCGTGGGCGCCATGCCTCCCAGTCAATGACCACCAGCCCTGAGAAGTCAGGTGCAGGCATAGCTGCCTGGATGTCATGGAATGTGTAGGCCAGGTGTTCACTTAGGCTGGCATTCTGTGGCAGGCCACCAAACACAGGCTCCCCAGTGGCTGTGTAGTAGGGGTAGGTGCCCAGCTCTGAGCTGTAGAAAATGGTCATGTTAGGGCCATGAAAGGTTTGCCCAGGGTTGGCTACCACATCAAAGATACTGACGTCCACGTCCACACTGTAGTTCTTCAGGCATCGCTGGGTGTCTGCATTCCAGATCGTGGTGAAGGGTTGGTTGGGTACCACAGGACCCCTGGAGCTTGTCATGTCGAGCAAGATCAGGAAGAGGGTACAGATTTGAAGCAGGTGGGCTGTGATGACATGGGGCGGGTGTGGGGAAACCTAGCCAGGGGAGGTACAATTGAGAGCAGGCTCTGACCCCTGCTCAAGGGGTCATAAATCTCTGCTTTAGTTAAACATTGACCTGCAGGGCTCAAGGAGAGTAGAAGCATGGAGCAGGGAGCACTGCCACTGGAGGGAATATCTGAATTGCCTCTGGGGCCAGGACTCTGTCGCCTGCCTCCCACAAGCCTTCTCCTCCCTAAGGTTGTTCACCCCACTTTTCCAAGCGTCAGGGCCATTATATCTGGGAAGAGCTGATGGATGAGAGGGGCCTTTCCTGTCTCTTCCCAAGAAATTCTGCCAACTACTGGAAGAAAGGATGTTCAGGAACCAAGAAGAGGTCAGCCCAGCCCTCCTGTATACCCAACAGTCTGCCCCCTTATCCCCTTCTGACCTCTGGACTGAAGGGCTTCATCTTCCAAATTTCCTGCCCCAGGCAATGGGAGCCCAGGCAGATTTTAGCCAGATTCTGTTCCACACAGTCCCCCAGCTGCTCCAGAAGCTCCCAGAGGAAGAGCTGCTGCTGGAAACTTTGAGCTTTTGTAGGTGGTCACAGGACTCAGTCCAGGGGCGGGCCTCTGTGGGGATGGGGCTGGACCAGAGGGGGCCCCTCCCACTGGGGGGCAGCACGAGGGCAGGGCTTTGTGGTTTGACTGGGGATGGCATTTGGCCTGGTGGTGGTGACAGAGGCAGTTGGGAAGGCAGGTCTGTGGTCCTGAAGTCTGGTTGCCTGAGGATTATATTCTCAGAAAATGCACTTTCTCCATGCTAATACAGGATGACATTGGCCTGCCCTAGGAACTCTTGCCTTTGTGAACCCTTTCCTTCTTAAATATTTACTTCTAGTATGGGGATTCAACCAGTGAGTGTTGAACTACATCCCTAGCCCTTTTTATTTTTTATTTTGAGATAGAGTCTCACTAAGTTACTAAATTGTCCAGGCTAGGCTTGAACTTGTGATCCTCCTGCCTCAACCTCCTGAGTATTTGGTACTATAGATGTGTGCCACTGTACTTGATAAAGAGTATTTTAAAATATATTTTATAGCCAGGTGTGGTGCTGCCCAACCTGGGCAATTTAGCAACTTAGTGAGATCTTGTCTCAAATTAAAAAATAAAAAGGGCTGGAGACATATAGACCAGTGTGAAGGCCCTGGGTTCAATCCTCAGTATTTAAAAAGACATTTTTACAATTGTGTTGGGCACATGCCTGTAATCCCAGCACAAATTCAAATTCAGCCTGGGTAATTTAATTACTTAGTGAGAACCTGTCTCAAAAAATTTAAGGGGCCAGGGACTTAGCTCAGTGGTTCCACTTGCCTCACAAGCGCAAGGTCCCAAGTTTGATGACTGGTACCAAAAAAAAATTTTAAATAAGCCAAGTGTAGTGGTACATATACTTGGGAGGCTGAGCCAGGAGGATCACCAAGAGTTCTAGGCCAGCCTGGGTTACACAGTGAGTTCTAGTCTAGCCTGGGCTTCATACCTGACCCTGTCTCAAAAAAAAAAAAATCTCACGGGCTTGTACATGCGAGTGTGACTCAGTGCCTAGGTTTGTGTATGCACGAGCCCTTGCTGTCTTGTCATGTGACAGACACCGTGTTTGTGTGATCACAGTATGAGCAAGAGTCTATCAGTGAGCATGTACTTATTCATTGATTTGTGGTTTCACTTGTTTGCTGACTCAGAAGCTGGTTGTAGGGACCTGCTAAGTGCTTAAGCCCAGGCTTGCCTGCCAGAGTAGGGGAAGAAAGCTCCATGTTCTTGCCTAGGGTGAAAGTGCTGCCTGGGCCTGCAGCTGTGTATCTGAGCCTAAACTACTGAACCCTAGGTCCACTGGCTGCTGGAGCAATGACACTGTGTAGGAGAGGTCATAGGTGTGGAGAAGACAGACATTTGGGGAAGGTAACAGCTTGTGGTGGGTCAAACACATGGAGATCAGAGCTTTGCCCATTGGGCAAAGTTATATATGGGTCACAGATATGTGGATCTGGGTCACCTGTGTGTTGGGAAGTTACAGGAGTGGGAGAGGTAGCACACATCACATCTGAGTGGGGGAGATTGTAAGTGTGGGATGTTGAGCTGGGCATGGTGGTGCATGCCTGTAACCCCAACACTCAGGAGGCTGAGGCAGGAGGATTGCCACATCTTCTTGGCCAGCCTGGGTTACATAGTGAGATCTTGTCTTTAAAAAAACACAACAAACAAACCTTTTTACCAAGATGACGCCAAAGGCAAGGAAGGAAGCTCCTGCCCCTCCCAAAGCTGAAGCCAAAGTAAAATCTTTGAAGGCCAAGAAGGCAGTGTTGAAAGGCATCCAGTCACAAAAAGAAGATCCACACTTCACCTACTTTCCATAGTCTCAAGACACTGTGGCTCCGGAGGCAGCCCAAATAACCCTCAGAAGAGCGTCCCCAGGAGAAAAAAGCTTGACCACTATGCCATCATCATGTTCCCCTTACCACAGAGTCAGCCATAAAGAAGATAGAGGACAACAACACAGTTGTGTTCATTGTGGATGTCAAGGCCAAGAAGCACCAGATCAAATAAGCTGTGAAGAAGTTCTATGACATTGACGTGGCCAAGGTCAATACCCTGATCAGGCCTGATGGAGAGAAGAAGGAGTATGTTGGACTGGCTCCTCATTATGATGCTTTGGATGTTGCCAACAAAATTGGGATCATCTAAACTGAGTCCAGCTGGCTAATTCTAAATGCACATTTTTTCACCATAAAAAACGTGTTGGGGCGGGGGATTTAGCTCAGTGGCACAGTGCCTGCCTTGCGGAATGTCCTGACTTCAATCCTCGGTACCAAAAAAAAAAAGTGTGGGAAGTCACAGGTGTGGGGAAAGACAGGTTACATATCCTTCCTTGCACTCCCACTGCTGAGCTCCATCTCATAGCTTTATTTTTGTTGTTTTGTTTTGGTTTTTTTTGAGACAGTGTCTTGCTCTGAAGTTCAGGCTGACCGTGAACTCATTATGTAGCCCAGGCTGGCCTTGTAACTCTCATCAATCCTTCTGGCTCAGCCTCCCAAGTGTTGGGATTACAGGTGTGTGCCACCACACCTGGTTTCTCATGGTTTTATCGACTGACCTGTGAATCTTTTCTCCAGCCTGGCCTCTTTCCATCACTGCCACGAGCAGCTGAAACCACTCCGCTTCCCTTTCATGTACGCATCCCCCTTCACCATGTGAATTTCTATGACTCCTGGTGCTGCCACCCAGCCCCCTTCTCTCCATTCTCTGCCGGCACCACCCACAGGAAGGGATGTCTTTACAGCCTGTGTTGGCCTAGATTTGACCAGGCTGTTCCTCCTGTGCTGCTTCCTTTTCTTGGGGGCTGGGGGTGAGACAGGATCTTGTTAGGTAGTTCAGGAGGGAAAACTCACTATGCAGCTCAGGCTGGCCTCAAACTCTCATTGATTCTCCTGCCTCAACCTCCAGAGTGCTGGGATTACAGGCCTGCACCATTAAGTCCAGCACTGTGCTGCTTACTTAATCACATCACCTCCTTATCCATGTGCTTCTCAGAAGCACTCTCGATTCTGGCATCAGACAAGGTGGCATCATCTAGTGTGCATCTTCCTCTGTCATCCCTGAGAGCACAGGGGTCTTGTTGGTGTGGTTCCGGGACTCATCCCCAGCACCCAGCCCAGCCCTGGCCCAAGTGTGTGCTCTGTATTTACTGAATAGTTGAGACAGTTGCCATCAGGCAGTCAGCCACAGGGCTGCCCCTGGCCTCTGCCCACAGCTGATCCCAAGCCACACCCTAGCAACCAGAACTCCCTGTTGCAGCTGTGTTCTGACTTCCTCCAGCCTTTGATCATACTTTGTTCTCTGGCATCAAGCTACCTCCTCCCCTTTTAAAACAGTAGTGGAGGACGCTTCCCCTAACCCGTTGTTCGCTGCCCTCAGCACTCCCTCCCTCCCTTTCTTCCTTCCTGTCTTTCTTTTGGCAGTGCTGGGGATTGAACCCAGGGTGCCTTCACACTTACATATATCCCCTGCCCTTTAAAATTTAAAAGAAAAAGAAAAAATTTTTTTGAGATAGGGTCTTGCTATATAGTTCAGGCTGGCCTTGAGCTTACTATATTGTCTAGACTGCCCTTGAACTAATGGCAATCTTCCTGCCTCAGCCTCCTGAGTGCTGGGATTGTAGCCCTGCTCCACCATGCTAGGCAAAAAACGAAAAAAGTTTTTGAGGCAGTCTCATTAAATTGCCCAGACTGAAACTTGTATTCCTCTTGCTTCAGCCTCCCAGAGTGCTTGGATTATAGACCTATGCCACCACACCTGGCCTTTTTTGATGCTGGGGATTAAAACTAGGACCTTCCGCATGCTAGGCACATGCCCTACCACTGAGACACTCAGCCCTTCTGTGGCATCTTGAATCTGTCACCCCAGCTAGTAAGTTTGCTGAGGGTTGGGCTGTCTATGTGAGTTGTTACTGGGACAGGGGCACCCCCTATGCTAGGCAAGCATTGTACCCTGGAGCTACATCCCCAGCCCCAAAGCTGACCTGAGGATGTTCCTGCTCTCAGGCTCAGGATGCCTTCCCTCAGCCCCATTATTCATTTCCATAGTGTGACAAGGGCTGAACCTCAGGATATCCCAATTCCTTGCCAGTCTCCCTCCCTGCTACACAAAAAGGGCAGTGACCCAGATAAGGAAAGGTGTGTGTGGCAGGAATCCACCACTCTTGGGGGTAGGGAGCAGAGGCGATGTCTTTGCCAGTGGGAGAAGCAGGGAAAATGAAACTGCTACTTTTTCCCAATCTCCCTGGTGAGGCGGCCCAGCTTAGGGGAAGGGGTGAGAAGCACAATGAGCTCTGCCTCTGACAAGGTTGGGCCTAACCCCATTCCTATCAATACAGGAAGTGAGGTCTTTGGTGTTTGGGAGGAGTGGCCTCTGCCCTAACAGGACAGCTGCAGAGCGGGCAGCTTTGGTGAACACATTTTTCAGGTGAGAAGTTCCCAGCAGAAAGGGTTTTACAGAGATCTGAGCTCATTACCGGTGACCCTCGGATCTCTCTCACATGCCCCGGCTCAGAAGCAGAAGACCAAGCAGAGAAACAATTGTTTTATATTTAATTTAGAAAAGAGACCCCAAAATAATAATAATAACAAACTATCCAGGGGCAAGGGAGGGAGTAGGGTCAGGCCCTCCCCAGCCCAGCTGCATCCTCCTTCCCTTTGGCAGGGAGAGAAAGGGCCTCTCAGGGGATTTCCCCTCCCCCTTAGAACAGGGGTGTGACAGCTGGTATGGATGTCCTGCTAGGCATCCTGGGGGCTCTGTCCCCTCTAGATTCCACTTTGTCTACCCCCTACAGGCTCCTTCATGTCCAGGAGAGCCCTTGTGGCAGAAGCTAGCTGGCTTGGTAGCCAGGTGAGAGACCACTACAAGGTCCAGGTAAGGGCTATGGCTCCCAGAGCCAGCAGGATGCTGAGGTGGGACCCAGCCCAGCCCCCACTGGCACCTCCAGCTGTATGCCCATGGTCCTGGCATTGCTCGCCACCCCAGCCCAAGTAGCACTGGCAGCGAAAGTGTGTCCTCAGGTAGTTGAGGTCAGCCCGG